ACAGTGTTAAGTGTCAAGGTCATATGTATGTTACCTGCGTCCATTTTGGTTAGAAGTGGAATATTTTTTTTTCTCGAATTTGAAAATAACAAAAGTCCGTACAAGCAAGACAACTCTGTTAATCAGCAGTTTATACTGTTTTAAGCCAACTGTTTCTTCCAATCATATATCATACAACGACACGACATAACTGTGCATTTTCTCTCTAACATTTGGATTGTCTATGACAATGGTTGAGCACCTGATATGTTATTTGTATAATAATATTATTAACAATATAGTGTTTATTAAATAGCTTATAGATATTAATATGCTATAAAAACATGAAATCCATACAACTACTGTGGCGTATAATCTGTGAGACTATAGACCGAGGGGTTGGGATCAATCTAAGAATAAGATGAATAGCTACAAAACTTTATTCCTCCTTCTCGGAGTCCAACCAGAATACAAGAGCACGAAGTATATATTCCCGCCAAAAACCAGGTCATAACCTTTGATCATGTGACTAAACTAAAACATAGGGTAAAATGGGGCTTGGTCGTACATACAAGACAAATAATACACAAAACTACCAATATTCTTCACAACACAGAGGCCTCTTAAGTTCCACTCGAACAAGTAATAAAAATAATAGTCAATTCTTGAGTTCTGTTTTTAGATAAGGTCTGATTGTAAATATCTCTTGTGATAATAAGATAAACCTATATCTGACACATAATAAAATACTAATCACCATACAACTACTTATATCACTTATAACTCTATCTTAAAGACAAGAATGACATTATTTTACTAACATTCTACCTATCATAGACATTAAAACACACAAATTCTATACTATAAAGTATTGACTTGATATACAAAAGCTATGCAATATGATTATATCATTTGTTTCTATCTTTATATTACATGTATAGTAATTCAATAGTTAAATCTCATAGACAATAAGAAATACTAATTTAATCTATGTTTAAGGTATATCTAAAACAAGTTCTATTGTCATGTATGAAATAACCAAACAACACAACCAAATATTCAATATAATATCATATCTTAACAACCATAATGTAATGAACATCAAAATATCAATCAAAGATAATAAAAACACAAAGGTATGAAATATATATAAGTTATTATCAGATTTATTACTTTCTCTGACTTCTATGATCAGTAGGTATTTTACTATGTGTGTCCTTCACTAAATGTTGACAAGCTGAATTTAAATCAGTAAATGGAACCCAAGTATTGTCTTTATGAGGGTAGTCCATTTAACACGATAGTTCCAGCATCCATCATAATATTTTTTCTTAAGTATTTTCTCTACTATGTATTCCTTATTCTGAGAATTAAACACACACTTGGATTTTGATTTCACAATCTTAGAGGAACCTTTCAAATTTTCACCAGGCTTCAGACCATTATTATTAGGTCTCACAGTTTTACAAGCACTATTATAATCATAATCATTTCCTGAATTATTTTCAACAGCAGGTATATTATTAACAATTTCATCACTTCCCAAGATAACAGGTTCTAAATTGTCTTCATCGTTTGGTGGTGTAGGGTCATCCGGTTCATAATTTCTCAACTCTCCATGTTTAAGTCTATTAACATTTACAATATTTAAAATCAGCTTTCTATCAGGTTTTCTTCTCAATTTTACATGAATATTAGAAAATGTTTCAACAATATAATAAGGAACTATCCAAGGACGAAGTAAGTTCTTAGTTTGACCTGATGCTAACACGATAAAAAAATACAGTCACCAAAATTAAATATAGGTTCATGAGCTTTAAGTCTAGATTTTTCTTTCATTGCAGTTTTGCGCTCTTTCAAATTTTCTTGTGTAACTTTTCGTGACACTTCTACACCTTCAAGTAATTCCATGACATAAGAAGTGGTATTTTTAGGAAGTTCAACTGACAGTAAAGCAACAAAGTTCTAGAGTGACGACCATGAATCAAAAAGAATGGTGTGTATTCAGTAATATCTAAACAAGGTGATGTGTCATACGATAATTGAATAGGAATGAACTTGTCCCAATTGCTATGAATATCATCTAAATATTTTGATAATGAGGCAGCAATAACTGACGTCATCCTCTCACTTTGACCATTGGAAGCAGGATGGTAGCTTGTAGTATATGTTTACTTAATGTCAAGAAGTTTACATGTTTCTTTAACAACGACACTTAAATAATTTGAACCACGATCCGAATGCAAATATTGTGGAATACCATGACGACATATAATATGTTCCATGAAGGCATTGACAACAGTTGGTGGCTTAATATCAGACACTGGGACTTATTCAACATACAGAAAGATAATCAATAAATACAATAACATACATGTTACCATTATCACACTTATATAAAGGACCTAAAATATCAGTACTTAATCTTTCAAATGGTTCACTAGCTAAAGGTATAATAGAAGTCTTAGAGCTAGGACTTAGATGGCGGTTTCCTTTGACAACATACAATACAGGTTTTAATCCCGTTATTAATATCAGTGTACATCTTAGACCAATGAAACTTAATATTTGTCTTAGCTAAAGTTCTATGAATTCCAAAATGACCTCCAGATAAAGCTTCATCATGACAATGTTTTAAAACAGTTTTAACAAACAATTTTGGAACAGCGATTTGTACAATAAGTATAACTCTAGGTTATATTCTAGAGAGTGGTCCACTGTTGTAATATAGTCTGTTTATAGAAACACCAGACATCACCTAACTCTGGGTTATATTCTAGAGTGTGGTCCACTGTTGTAATATTGTCTGTTTATAGAAACACCAGACATCACCTAACTCTAGGTTATATTCTAGAGAGTGGTGTCCACTGTTGTACTATTGTCTGTTTATAGAAACACCAGACATCACCTAACTCTAGGTTATATTCTAGAGAGTGGTCCACTGTTGTACTATTGTCTGTTTATAGAAACACCAGACATCACCTTACTTTAGGTTATATTCTAGACAGTGTTCCACTGTTGTACTATTGTCTGTTTATAGAAACACCAGACATCACCTAACTCGAGGTTATATTCTAGAGAGTGGTCCACTGTTGTACTATTGTCTGTTTATAGAAACACCAGACATCACCTAACTCTAGGTTATATTCTAGACAGTGATCCACTGTTGTACTAGTCAGTTTTGTTAAAATTGTTGTCTATTCTTTTAAGATGTATTCAAGTGATATATCATACATTTATTCAAAATATAGGTCAGTCAATAGCTAGCTAAGTTTGAATA